TCAGCCCTGACAACTGCTTATGACTCTTTGTCCAGAGGATGTCTCTGACCCCTGCAGTCACCACATACAGGAACATAAACCCTCACACAGACAGACAGAGACACAAGCACACATACACACAAAATCTCACACAGACAGACAGAGACACACGCACACATACACACACAATCTCACACAGACAGACAGAGACACACGCACACATACACACACAATCTCACACAGACAGACAGAGACACACGCACACATACACACACAATCTCACACAGACAGACAGAGACACACGCACACATACACACACAATCTCACACAGACAGACAGAGACACACGCACACATACACACAAAATCGTACACAGATAGACAGAGACACAAGCACACATACACACAAACCCTCACACAGACAGACAGACACACAGCACACATACACACAAAATCTCACACAGACAGACAGACAGACACACAAGCACACATACACACAAACCCTCACACAGACAGACAGAGACACAAGCACACATACACACAAACCCCCACACAGACAGACAGAGACACAAGCACACATACACACAAACCCCCACACAGACAGACAGAGACACAAGCACACATACACACAAACCCCCACACAGACAGACAGAGACACAAGCACACATACACACAAACCCCCACACAGACAGACAGAGACACAAGCACACATACACACAAACCCCCACACAGACAGACAGAGACACAAGCACACATACACACAAACCCCCACACAGACAGACAGAGACACAAGCACACATACACACAAACCCCCACACAGACAGACAGAGACACAAGCACACATACACACAAACCCCCACACAGACAGACAGAGACACAAGCACACATACACACAAACCCCCACACAGACAGACAGAGACACAAGCACACATACACACAAACCCCCACACAGACAGACAGAGACACAAGCACACATACACACAAACCCCCACACAGACAGACAGAGACACAAGCACACATACACACAAACCCCCACACAGACAGACAGAGACACAAGCACACATACACACAAACCCCCACACAGACAGACAGAGACACAAGCACACATACACACAAACCCCCACACAGACAGACAGAGACACAAGCACACATACACACAAACCCCCACACAGACAGACAGAGACACAAGCACACATACACACAAACCCCCACACAGACAGACAGAGACACAAGCACACATACACACAAACCCCCACACAGACAGACAGAGACACAAGCACACATACACACAAACCCCCACACAGACAGACAGAGACACAAGCACACATACACACAAACCCCCACACAGACAGACAGAGACACAAGCACACATACACACAAACCCCCACACAGACAGACACACAAGCACACATACACACAAAATCTCAGATTTGAGTACATGTATTTGAGCTATCATCTGCTTTTTTCTCTCGTAAGGCATCTATCTGTGGATGGGAGGTAGCTCAGCTGGTAGAGAGAAAGCACAGAGCTCTGGGTTCCACCTTAGCACCTCATGTGTTGTGATGGTGCTGGCCTGCACTCCCAGCACTGAGAGAGTGAAGGCAAGACAATTAAAGTTAAGAATCGTCCCACTACACTGTATAAGAACCTGTCTCAAAGTAGAATAGAGTGTCCATTTGTTAAGTTACACCGTGTCTTAGCTGGGGTTTCTGTTGCTGTGACAACACACCATGACCATAAGAAACTTGAGAAGATGGGTTACACACCTACACTTGGGGTAACTAACTGTCCACCACTGGGGGAACTCAGGGCAGGAACTGAAGCAGAAGCCATGGAGGGGTGCTTCTTACTGGTTTGCTCCCCATTGCTTGTTCAACCTGCTTCCTTATCCCACCCAGGACCACCTGCCTGGAGGTGGCACCACCCTGAATGAGTTGGACCCACCCACGTGAATCATTAATTGAGAAAATGTGCTACACCTTTGACTACAGATTAATCTTATGGGATCATTTTCCCAGTTGAGAGTTCCTCTTCCCAGACAACTCTATCTTGTGTTCAGTTGACATAAAACCAACCAGAACACACTGTAATGTGACTTAATGAAATGCCTCGTTGGATTTAGGGATGAGAAGGGAGCTAACGAAGTTAAAGTCAAGGCTATAACCATCTTCCGGGTCAGGGCCTTCGGAGTGTCCATGGAGACACTTCCCATCTTACACAGCTTAGGATCCTTGGCTGGGGCCTCAGCTGTGTCCCTCAGCTGCCTCATCCCCTCCAGCCCACTGAACCATTTAGCATGAGGGATATGTCCACTCCGTGATGCACTGCCATGCATCAGGATGTCAGTGCCATGCCATGACGACACCGTGAGGAGCCACGCATGAGGCTACAAGCCTGCTTTCCAGCCCCCAGGAGGCAGAGGCAAGAGGATTGGGAGTTCCTCGTCTACAGAGGCACATAGCAACACCTTGTCTCAAAATTAATTAATAATTAAAATAGAAGGAGAGTCCAGAGGGACAGATGCTGGAAAGTAGTGCCTGTAATCTATATGGCAGAGAAGGTTTCTTTCCACTCCTGGCACATGGGGTACTATTGTCACTATTGTCATCTTTTGAGAATGAAAACTGTGCTGTGGTGGAAAATGACTCACCTCAGCTGATGCTTTTGTAGACACCGTGCCCTGCACTAGCCAGGATTCTATGCATTTTACTTAAATAAACTCGTTTACATTCAACCTGTGGATTCTTAGGAGAAAAGCCCAGTGACCCTTCTTTTACAATAGGAAATAGAATTTTGTTGTTGGGTTTTTGTTTGTTTTGATACACTGTTTCTTCTGTGTAGCTCTATAGACCAGGCTGGCCTCGAACTAACAAAGATCTACCTGCCTCTGCCTCCCGAATGCTGGGATTAAAGGGCATGTGTCACCCCAGCCCAGCTTGGAAACATTTTCTTAGTTGCCAATTAATGTAGGAGGACCCAGCCCACTGTGGGTAGTACCATTCCTAGGAAGGTAGATCTGAGCTATAAAAGAAAGATAACTGAGCAAGCCAAAGGGAGCAAGCCAGTAAGAGGCATGCCCCTGTGGTCATTTGTTCAGTTTCTGCCTCCAGGTTCCTGCCCTGACTTAATGATGAGTTGTGGCCTGGAAGCATAAGATGAAATAATCCCTTTTCTGCCCAAATTGCTTTTGGTTGTGGGGCTTCATCACAGCCACAGAAAAGCAAACAGGGACAGAGGTTCTGGTTTTCTTCTAATTCTCATCACATGTCATATTGTTCTGCACTTCCTGCTTGGCACACTTAATCATCCACACAAGGAACAAACTGGCCAAATTTGCAACTAAAATCGGGATGCCTTGTACCTGACAGGACTCTGTGTTTCCCGGCGTGGAGTACAAGTCACCACCCAATGATGGGCAAGAGGTGTATTTGGGATGCAGATCGGAAAAGAAATTTCAGTCCTTGAAATGCACTAGAAACGTGTTCTTGTACTCTGGGATTTGGTTGATTCATTTTCCTCAGCATGTTTTAATGCACGTGACACCTGAGGGAGGTGGTTTTACCTTGCAGTCCCTGCACAGCCCACGCTTCTTTGTTGGATGACAGAGGGATTTGAAAACTGGTGCAGGTGAACTGTCAGCAGCCTGGCTGGGCCCTCCAAGTCAGACTTACCAAGCTGGTTCTCTTCTCTCTCTCTCTCTCTCTCTCTCTCTTTCTCTCTTTCTCTCTCTCCTCCCCCTCTCCCTTTCCTCTCTCTTCTCCCCTCCCCACACTCTCTCTCTTCTCCCCTCCCTCTCTCTTTTCCTCCCCCCTCTCTGCAGAGCTCCCTTCAAACCCTGTAAACATTTCCTTCTCTCCTGAGTGCCCCCAGTTCTATTCCCCCCACTGCTTCCTTAGCCAGGATATGGAAAACATGCTTGTCTTTGTTTTTCCAGAAGCCTGACCCTACTCTCCCATGGAAGCCAAATCAAACCCAAAGCTCAGGTATCAAAGTAGAAAAAGAAACAAATTTGTAAAAGGTTGGGGAGTTACTCCCAACCTGAATCTGGCCATATTCCCAGACCAGTGGAACTGCCAGTGGTCTGGGAAATTCCCCACAGAGCCCTCCACCCAGGGGAAGCCTTTTGAAGCAGAGTTGGAGCTCATTAAGAAGAATGTTTAAGACAGGTTTAAACAGCAGGTTAATAGAAAGACGGTTGCTCGGGGAATGATGAGGCATTGCCCAAGAAGGGTGTGGCCCTGGAAGGAAAGACGCCCCAATGCACAGAAGTGTCAATGGCATATCAAAAGCTTTTGGAACTGAATTGCTCAGTTTGCTTCTAAGGGGTTCCCCGGAAACCCCACCCCACCTCCCGGACCATCTCTTTCCCCTTGTATATTAGGTGATATTAGAAGCTGTCTCCAGCAGTACCTTAGATAGAACTGTATCTTACAAGAGAAAAGCATGGGTCAAAGAGGTAACATGGGGGGTGTCTTTTGCTGTAAATGGGGTTTCTACTTAGAGTTCTAGAAAACTGTACTTGTTTGGTACTTCTGGATAGCGATTTTCTTTCAAATGTCGTAAGAGGCTTAACTGCTTTCATTTTTAATGGGTTTGTGTGTGTGCATATGTGCATGCGTGTTCACCTGTGTGTGCATATTCACACATGTGTGCACGCATGTTCACATGTGCATCTTAGTACACAGTTGGTGTCTTCCTTTGTTGTTCTTCAACCTTATTCTTTTTGAGGCCTGGTCTCTCAGTCAAACCCAGAGCTAGTATCATTAACCAGTCTACTCCAGGGATACTTTGTCTCCCACTTCTGAGGTTACCATGCCTGTTCCACATTTGCTTGGGTTCTGGGGAGCCAAATCTCCATCTCTTGCTAGTTTGGCAAACATTTTCAATGCTTAGAGATCTCAGTAGGCACCCTTCCATCTCTGAAGCTGCTGTACCTAAGTTTGAAGAAATCAGTTACAACTTCACACGTGAACATCTTAAATGAAATGTTAAAACTGTAAAAAACATGTCTGAAATTTTGAAATTCAGTAGACAGGTTTTACTGCAGAACAAAGGTTTAAAAAGTCAGTGAACTTCAAGTTAGAATAGTAGAAACTATTCAGTCTATAACAAATGGGAGCTGGAGAGATGGCTCAGCAGTTAAGAACATGTTAGCAGCTCACCTCCAAGGAGTGTGATGCCTTCTCCTCACTTTCTCAGGTGCCTGCAGCTCATGCGCACTCACCCACAGACACATAATGAGAATATAAATAAATATGTAAAAGTTAAGAAGTTTAAAAAATATTAATCTATTCTAAAACCCATAGGTGAGTGAGGAACGGAGTAAAATCACACTCATAGTTTAGGGCAGCTGAGGTGGCCACACAGGCCCTGTACAAGATCGTGCCAGTCAACACACAAGCATTGACTGGGAGGGGGCACAGGAGCCCCCACCTCTAGGTGAGAAGCTAGTGACAGGCGCTAATGGCTGCTAGGGAAGGAAGGCTTAGTTTTCTTTAGGGTGTGGTCCTGGTAGATTTACCACACTCAGGGATGGCCCCACACCAATGCATACATGGGCAGTGCTAGTGGACTCAATAGGTTACTGAAACAAACCAAAATTACAGGAATAAAGTTGGAAGAGGGGCATGCGGAGGTGGACCCAGGAGGTAGAGTTCTGGAAAGGGGTGAATATGATAGAATACATTGTATGCATGTATGAACTCCTCAAAGAACAAGTAGAAATATATTTTAGAAGTTAATAAGGGCTTAGGTGCTAAGGGATAATATGAAAAGGATAGGCAAACAGGAAACTAGAAGCATAAAAGTTAAGAGGAGAAATGGAGTAGAAAAAAATACATGAGGAATTTATAGCAACAAATGTTCCCAAATTTTGTGAAAAGCATTAATTGCTGAATCAACAAACACCAAGCAGCGTAAATACAAGGAGAGCCATATCCAAGCAACCCTAGTCATGGCTCTCATTGACCCCACCCTGTCACACCCATGTGCAATCCACTACCCCAGGGTGTAGACTGAACCTATTGCTTTAGTCTTTGTGCTGATGTGGCAAAGACTTGACGTAAACCACATGAAGAAAGACTTGCTGGCTTGGGCTTGTAGATTCCGAGGCTCTGTCCGTGGTTGATTGGTCCCATGAGACTGGACAGGATGCTATGGAAGTAGAAGCATCTATCAGAGGATGTTTTGTCATCACAGCAGTCAGGAAGCAGGGAGTGGGTCTGCTGACCAGGTACAGCACTCATAAAGCTTGCACATTCTTCCAAAGTGGGACCACCAATTGAGGACCAAGCAGCCAACATGAGCTTTTGGGGGACATTCCCTACCCAAACCAGAACTTCTGACTGTTTGTTTCCAATTAATAGAATACAACAAAACAAACGGAATATGGCTTCTATGACTGAGCAGTAAGCATCTGACCTCTTTTGGTGGCTTGCCCCCTCACTCCACTGAAGGAGAAGGCTTGTACATTCATGATACCTTTATTCAGATAAATACCAGCCAAACGCGAGCCAGAGTGTGCCCAGGGGCAGCAAGGCAGGGAGGCCAGAGAGAAGGGGCAGCCGAAGGGAAAGAGACCTTTCCATGTGCTTGTGGTCGCTCAAGAGCCCACGCCGTGTCACTCTGACCTCACCTTGACCATGCGTGGTCAGGCACACCTGTAGCCAGCCCTTAGGAGGCGTGGGTACCGTGTCTCCCTACACTCCACCCTTTCCTCTCTCCTTCCAGCTACTTGTGTGTTGTCTCTATGTCCTAGCCTTGTTGTTTGCTTGGCTGCATGGAACAAACTAAAATGTTGTTGAGATATTCTATGGAGTGAATCTTGATACACCACATCTTTTTCACCGGGAGGATTAATATACAGAAATTCATGTTATGAATCAGTGTCTACAAATGGCTGTGCTCCTGTTAGAATTGGGGGGGGTGTAGCAGAGATTCTCCTCCCCCTGGAACACAAGCACTCTGGATTCAGTGATAGAAATGTTAGTTGCCCTGTGTGCAAGTGTTGTGCACCGTAAACCTACAGTATCTCTTGTACAGGGTAACACATGTGCATCAGTCAGGGCCCAGGTCCAAAGAGAAACTACAAAAAACTACTTCAATGAACAACTTTAATGTGGAAGACTGAGAACTGAAAAACCATGGAAGCTGGGACATCACAAGACAATCACTACAGGAAGCAAATTTACTGTCAGTGTGGGAACAAAGAGGAGGTGCTTCGTTTGCAAAATGCACAGTCTGGAACCAGGGCTCCCAGGAGGGAAGATAGTGGGTCAGCTTGTGCAGTGTCTGAACTGCACAGAAAGCTGATGTGTGAAGACCACAAACAAGTCAAACGGTGCTACGGCGCTAGAGATGCTGCAACTATCGGTGTGGAAAGGAAGACACCGTGGGGGATGCCAGAGTGAAGCGAGGCAGCAAGGGCTCCCTACAGCTCTTCGTTCTAACTCAAGCATCCATATTATCATAACTTGGTAGCTTTCACAGTCCAGCAACACGGGGTGCAGGACAGAACAATGAGATTGGGACAGAAATTATTGACAGTCACAAAATGAAAAGCAACTCGAAATCCCAGGACCGAGAGGCACTGATAATTGGTATCTGAGGGGAAGGATGAACAGGACAGCGTTTCCAGACTTCATTCGGCCTGTATTTCCACTAGTTCTTTTTGAGAACAAGGAAGGAATAGAAGCTGCTCAGATGAGTGACAAATAACTTCAGGCCTTTTCACGGAGAAGCCTTTTTCAAAATTAAGACAATCTTAAATACACCTCACTGCTTTGTCTGGTCCTCAGAAACCTTGTCTGAGCCTTCACCTCTGAAGCTTAGAGCCCAGAACTTCAGCCTTGGAACATCTACAAGCCTGACAAAGAACACACACTGAAAGCAGGGAGGACCTGGCTAGTGCCAAAGAGACACCACAGATGTCACGCACTTGAACTAGCCCCAGGATGTTAAATTAATATTGCACTTAGGGCTTATCTGGTTTCCCTTGGCAACTAGACAGAAGGTGCAGAGCAGAGAGCAAGAGAAAAAAAGTTTCATCATTCAGGCAGTACAAAAAAAGAAAAAAAAAGTTACCATGGAAAGAAAAAGAAAAGGAGAGGTACCAACAGGAAAGGAAATTACCATCACCCAAAACAGAATAGCGACCTGCAGTGGGGAGACACACAGCCCAGCAACCGTGGGGTTTCAGAGGTACCACTGCAGCCTGGTGGCATTCAGGAAGGAGAGACGTTATAGTCTACCTGCCTCCTCTCTCTGGAGAAGGTCACTTTTACCATAAACTAGAACCATCATGTGTCTGTGTGTTTAGCACCACAGGCTCAGTACCCAGAATAAGACAGACATTCAACAATGAATCATGAGTAATCATGTTGATGCCAAATCACAAAAAAGTATCTAAAATTATGACTAATAAATGTTAGTGGAAAGTACATAGGTATTGGTGGCACTTTGAAAAGTAACTGTTAAAAATAACCACTGTCTATGGGCTGTGCTATGGAAGCAAGGACCAGCTTCTCTGACATGCTCTCTAGTGCAATAATGGTAAGTGTGTCATAGGAGTGACCAATTGCTCTCTGAGGCTCTGCTCCACAAGAAGGAATTCATATCTGAGTAGGTAACCCAGTCAAAAACTCACTATGTAGCCTTGGCTGGCCTGGAACTTATTGTGTCAACCAGAATGACCTTAAACTCACAAGATATCTGCCTTCCTTTGCCTCCCAGTGTAGGGAGACACTGTAGCCCCATCTCCTAGGAGCTAGCTACATGTGTGCTTGACCACACCTGTCAGGATGTGGTCAGGGGAGGTTCAGGATGACTCATGGGGAGTTCTTAAGGGGACAGCAGACACATGGGAGCTCTTCTCTCTGGCCTCCCTAGCCTGCTGCCTCTGGGCACACTCTGGCTTATGCTTGACCGGTGTTTATCTGAATAAAGATATCCTAACCTTACCGACTATGGATCATCTTCATAAAGCTGATTCTGTTATTACACACCTACTAGAGGTGATGGCAGTTATGGGTATACCTACACAGATAAAAACTGACAATGCTCCAGCATATGTCTCCACAAAAATGGAACAGTTCTTCAAATATTATAACATAAAGCATGTCACAGGTATACCACACAATCCTACAGGACAAGCAGTGTTGAAAGATCTAATAGAATGCTTAAGAAGGTGCTCCATAGGCAAGCTGGTAAGTCTAAACCCCCCAAACGTAGGTTACATAATGCTTTATTGACACTAAACTTTCTTAATGCCAATGGAAAAGGACAAACAGCTGCGGAAAGACATGGAAAAAACTGTTGAACTGAATCGACCAGTGTACTTCAAAGATATACTGACCTCGGTATGGAAACCCGGACATGTGTTATGTTGGGGTAGGGATTTTGAATTTGTTTCCACAGGAGCTTAAAATCTTTGGAAAAATTGATCAAGATTCGAGTTGAAAAAGACAACCCTCTTGACAAGGACGACTGACAGGTATTTACTGAGGTATATCTCTACTTAGGTATATCTCATAAACTAAATGAAAGCCTCCCAAAAGAAAGGAAAGTGCTTTGTTTTTATCTTCACAGAAAAACCTCCAGAAGTCAAAGGACACTTGGGTAGATACTTAAAGAAAAAAAAGGTAGCTATAACCATCAAACGAAAGGAACGTGCCATACGGTAAGCTTTACAGCTGTCTCTCAAATAACTCTATTTCTCTTCATTTTCTAGTCCCTATTCAATTAAACCAATACTGGATTTAGAGTTGGGTTTGGCTTTCCTCCCCTAAAATCCAAGCATGTTGTTTAACTAAATTTTAGTTTCAGTATTATATCAAGAAGCCAATTGATGTAATACAAAATAAATGAAGAATTTGAGGACTATCTTTTGTCTTTTCTTGGCTCTTTCTTTCAAGGTGTATACCCTCTCATAATTGTCATTTTCCCGTGGTTGCCTTTCCCAGCATACATACATATGCAAGCAAACATTTCTCTGCTGGTACTTATGTCTGAGTCCCACACAGCCAATGACAGCAATCCCTGGATGCTCCGTAAAGGAACTGGGCCAGACCTCCTGGACTGCACTGCATCTGACTCACGCCACATCAACTGACTCCGACCAGAGCCTCCAGTACTGGCTTCAATCAAGTTAAGGATTTCAACCTAGATCTTCAATCAAGCAAATCCCATCTAACATGCACTGGAGATAACCCGTTAGAGACTTCCCCTATACTAACATTTTCTTCCCACAGGACCCCACAAGGCTACCATCGTCCTGTTTCAGCAGGAAGTAACTTGGAAGATGCTACACCCCTGTTCCCCATTATTGTCTATTAGGGTAGTGTAAGCCTAGTTAGGAATAACTTTCTTATTGTTTAGAGTTGGTATTGGAAGGAGGTGTTCAAGTTGGACACCCCTTTCAGATGACTTTAGGGCTTAGCCGGAATAGACATAGTTAGGATGTGCAATTATATACAATTATTGTATCTTCTTGTATTTCACCTTTATGATTGTTAATTTTGTATGTTTTACAGCATTAAGTTTTACTCCTCTTTTAGACTAAAAGGGGAATTGTAGGGAGATCCTGTAGCCCCACCTCCTAGGAGCTAGGTACAGGTGTGCTTGACTATGCCTGTCAGGGTGTGGTCAGGGGAGGTTCAGGGTGACTCATGGGGAGTTCTTAAGGGGGCAGCAGACACATGGGAGCCCTTCTCTCTGGCCTCCCTAGCCTGCTGCCTCTGGGCATGCTCTGGCTTATGCTTGGCCGCTGTTTATCTGAATAAAGATATTTTAACCTTACCGACTATGGATAGTCTTCGTTCTCGTTATATCCCAGTGCCAAGATTAAAGACATATACCACCACACCCAGCTATGGCTGGTGTTTTGCTAAGTGGACATGATATACCTGTCAAATTGCCTTCCGAATATTTATGTTTATGTCCATAGGTCAAAGCTACTGTCATCTTTGGCCAGACAGGCTGTATTTTTTTTCCAGTGGGTTGTAGTTACTGCCAAGACTCATAACTGGCCAAAATGCTGAGAATAACTGAATGTTGAAAGCAGAAACCAAAATGGGAAATTGCCTCCTCCAAGACTGCACAGGGAACACCACAGAAGAGGAGGTGGAGAGAATGTAAAAGCCAGAGGAAGGGGTGGTGAGCTGTGAAGTATTACATTTATTTGTTTATTTATTTATTTAATTTTATTTTTTGTTTTTCGAGGCAGGGTTTCTCTGTGGCTTTGGAGGCTGTCCTGGAACTAGCTCTTGCCAACCAGGCTGGTCTCAAACTCACAGAGATACATCTGCCTCTACCTCCCGAGTTCTGGGATTAAAGGTATGAGCCACCAACACCCGGCTATGAAGTATTTTCTTGCAGGCATGACATGCTCATTATACTCTGATGGCCTGCTAAGAGTGGGCCCATTGATGCTCTCTTTCAGAGCAAGAGAGGGGAGGAGGCTTCACTCTCCCTGAGGACATAAGGCAGTTAATGATTGATGGAAGAGGGAGGGATTTTCTTCCATAGTTTAGCCACGGGTAAGGTGCCTGTGCTTCTGTAAATCATGCCCCTCCATTCATGTTCTTGCAAGCAACCCTAGTTACATTCAGTGATTCACAATAAAAGAAAGAAGAAAGAAAAAAGTTAGGGAGGGAGAAAGGGCTATGTAGTTGCTATGTAGTTGTCAAAGACTTGGTTCCCAGGAGATAGTGGATCTTTAATGGATGAGGCATAGTGGGTGGCCTTTAGGTCATCAGTAGTGTAACATATTCACACACACCCTTAGTGACCCCTTAAGGCCTGGTGAGAGATTATTATAAAAGGTTCAAGTCTGGTTCCTCCCACTCTTGTTCTGCTTCCTGAGTGGAGATGTATCTGTGCCACAGTCTGTTTCCCTATGAGTGCCATCATCTATCCCCTGTACCCCACTCATCTAGGACCCCTCACTACCATGGATAGAACAAACAGGGTAGCCACAGAATTTACCTGCAAGAGTGAAGGCCGGGCAAGAGAAAAAGCGAGTTTGCTTCCTTCGTGGCCTTTTATCTTGACCACTATCAGACTGTGTGGTCACAAGTCATGTGGATCTTCCTACATCCATTCAAGGCAACCAAGACAGATCCTCCCCAGCCATGACCAAAGGCTAATCTCACCATGACCATCCCTCATCATCATATAATAATTTGTGTTAGGAATTTGCCAGCAAGAAAGTTGCTGTCAGGGGCTAGGGAGCTGACTCGGTGATGAAGAGCACTGGCTGCTCTTACAAGCGACCTGAATTCAATTCCCAGCACCCACATTGCAGCTCACAACTGTCTGTAACTACAGTACCAGGGGACCCAGTGCCCCCTTCTGGCCTTTGTGGGCTCCTGCACATTTGTGGTACACAAATACTTGAAAAGGTTTACACATACACACATAAATAAATGTTAAAATGAACAAGAGCCATTACCATATGTGGGCCTTTAAGCCTCTAGAACTATGAAGAAAGCGAATCTCTCCTTTATAGTTATTTAGCCTCATGCAACAGGGTATCCTTATTTGCTACACTTACCATGGTGGACAGCCAGAGCTCTTGAACATAGTCTTCCTGTTCTATTTTACTAAAACATTGTATCCTTTGACTGGCACCCTCCCCACCTCCTCCCTCCTCACTTCCCAGTCTTAGGTAACTTGCAACATTGTATACTTACTTCACTTGCACAAATTCAGCACTTGTGGAGTGGGCGGCCTTTCGGTGCCTAGCTTGTTTTAGTTTCCTGAGTTCATCTGCATTAACGAAAAGATGAGAGATGTATCATTTATTGTCTCTTTCTTCTAAGACAAACTGAAAGTGGCACAAGGTGAGTTGTCAATGCACATTTATGTGTAAGAATTGCAAACCCAGGATTTAACCAGTCAGTCCCAAGTAGCCAGCCCTAAACATGTACATAGGAGCACTAACACATCAACTGAGCAAGTCATGTGTGTGTGTGTGTGTGTGTGTGTGTGTGTGTGTGTGTAACAATAAAAGTCACAAATTTTTGAGGAAGAGACAGGGACATAGGGGGACTTGGTGGGGAAGGGGAGTAGACATGATGTAAAGACAATACTCACATAAAATTCTCAAGAATAAATAAATTTTAGTTTTTGAAAAGTTTACAGATAATGGGGTACTGAGTCTGTTAACAAATTTTTCTGGTAGGTAGTTAAGAAGTCATTAATATCTGATGGAAATGAAAAAAGACTCTCTTTCTTCAGAACCTAAAAATGTCACACTGTCCTCTCTGGAGATCACAAGAGTGAGTGAATGTTCTTTCCTATCTAGAATAATTTTGACGTTGTCCTTTCTTAGGTTTTCAAGCAAGCACTACTGAGAATAATCACATGATTGAGCCTAATATTTGCAGCAAGAAATAAACAGTGTTCCTCCTGTCTAAAAACTAGAGGCCTAGAGCAGCCCGAGTCAGGAAGTGTGGCCTAGTAGGAGGATATGCCAGCTTGGAGCAGTGTGGGGCTGTGTCTGCCCACTAACCAATGAGGTTTCAATTTATGTGGATAAAAATAAAAAATTGTTAAAAAAAAAAAGCTTAGCAGTTCAAAATTATTCTCTCTAGGGAAGAAGAAAAAACATAGCTTTTAAATAGAAGAGTTCCCATGTAGCATTTTGTAGTTTGCATATTGTTTCCATGTGTGTTATCTAATTTTGGTTATAACTAAGCCATTTACTGGACAGGTTAGATAATACAAAAATGAAATGAGTTTTTCAATTTTAAGTGAGATTTAGGCATCTTCTTCTTACTATTTTTTCAGTATACATTTCAGATACATTAAATTTTCTACTATAAGAACTGTAACTTTTTACTATATACACAGATGCTCCCCAGTTTTAGACACTGTGGAAATTAAGAGATGAGTCAGTGCTAGCTGGTGTGCTGTGGCAAAGTGCAGGCTGAGAAGGTGCAGGTTCAGTTGTCTTACGTCCAGACGCGATCCAGCTCCCAGGCCTCTCCTCTTTCCAAACACCCTCAACAAGACTGAAAGGAGGCGTCCTTTGTACTTCATAACCCTGCTTCCTAGTTTCTGCTTATTTAGGACCATGTGATTCTATCCAAAGAGATGGATCCACATATACCTCAATATTGTGGTTGCCACCGACACTCGGTTGAGTCTGCCCAATCTGCTGAGAGGATTGAACCATAGTGTCCTTGGGTGGACTTAGATGTGAACTCACGAAAGATTCACATGTGCCATAGTTTAGCACTCATATGGTCCTCCATGGAGTGCATAGGAAGGTTTGGATACAAGCCTGTGGCGCTATTGGTGGGTTGTAGGAACCCTAGGAAATGGGGCCTAGTTGGAGGCCTTAAGGGTTATGAGAGGTGTTTGGACCCATCCCTCTCTCCCTCTTTCTCTCTTTCTCTCTTTCTCTCTCTCTCTCCCTCTCCCTCTCTTTCTCTCTCTCTGTCTGTGTCTCTCTCTGTCTCTCTCTCCCTCTCTCTCTCTTTCTCTCTCTCTCTGTCTTGGTCTCTCTGTCTCCCTCTCTCTGTCTCTCTCTCCTCTCTTTCTCTCTCTCTCTCTTTCTCTGTCTCTCTCCCTCTTTCTTTCTCTCTCTCTTTCTCTGTCTGTCTCTCTCCCTCTCTCTCTAGTTCTCTGTATCTCTCTCTCCCTCTCTCTGTCCCTCTCTTTCTTTCTCTCTCTCTCTGTCTCTCTCTTTCTGTCTCTCTCTCTGTCTCTCTCCCTCTGTCTCTCTCTCTCCCTCTCTCTCCCCCTCTCTCCCCCTCTCTCTCTCTCTCTCTCTCTCTCTCTCTCTCTCTCTCTGTGTGTGTGTGTGTGTGTGTGTCTCTCTTTCTCTCTCCATCCCCTCTGCTTTGTGACACAGTAAGTTAAGCTGCTTCCTCTGACACATGCTCTCACCATGGTGTGCTAATTACTACAAGCTCCAAAACAATGAGAATTCTGAGACGAAGTGTGTTCAATTGTGTCAATTGGACACAACTTGACTAGAGGCATCAGGGAAGAGGAACCTCAGCTGAGAGAATACCTGCATCACACACACACACACACACACACACACACACACACACACACACACAATACATACATACATACATACATGAATGCAAAAAGTTAAAAATGCCTTAGTCATGAAAAATCAGAGATTAATACATAATCATTATCATCATCACCACCGCCATCATCATCCAGTTCCCCAGCTGCTGAAAAGCTCTTCTAGTTGGGACAGAGCAGAGTGGACTAGCCTGAGGAGGAAGGGGAGTTAACTCAGGTAGGACCATGTTAGACACGATCAGGTTACACCTGGAGGAAACTGAACTGATACACTGAGAGCTGCCAACTGAAGCAGTGGCCAGAATGAAATATGGGGCACAACACTGTGAAATAGTTTGGAATATCTTTCTTTTTAGCTCAGGCTGGCCTCAACTTCACCAGGTAGCTGAGGGTAACCTTGAGCTGTGCCTGCCTCTACCACACGAGTGCCAAGGTTCCAGGCACATATGTCCACACCCAGCTTCTGAGGTCCTAGCACCCGGCCTGGGGCTTCCCACATTCTAGGTGAGCATTCTTCCTGCTTCACTATGCCCCCAGACTTGGTTTGTGAGTGTCTTTGACACAGAAATGGGCCTGAAAACAGAAGCCATGATTTAGGGTCTCCAGGACTCCCACTGCACAGAAACTTGTTTGTGTATTGGGTGGTTTTCGTTGCTATGATCCAATGTATGACAGAACAACTCAAGGGGCTTATTTTAGCCCATAGTTTCAGAGGGCCCTGCCCCCACGTGCTTGGGCAGAATATCATGGCACCAGGAACATGCACAGGAAGCTGAGAAAGTTGTAGCAGATGAAACGTAGCCAACATGAAATGTAACTACAAAGATAAACCCTAGTGAGTCCCCTGACTAGGCCCTGCCACCCACCTTTCATCGCCTCCCAATAATATTTACCTCATGTCAAGAAATTAATCTGTTCCTCAAGTCCGAGGACTCCTCCTCCTCCCCTTCCTCCTCCTCCTCCTGAGACTTGGTCTCCCTGGGTAGTCCTGGATAGCCTGGAACTCATGGATACTATATTCTTCCTCCAGAACCCTGTTTTCAGTGTAGTTTGAATTTCTTTTTGTAAAATACTTTTATTAATTCTGTGAAAAATGTTTACATTGCATTTGGTCATCTTCACTCCAGATCCATCCCACTCCACCTACCCAATCATGTGTCCTAATTTCTCATGAAAAACAATTTCTTCAGACAATCAATTGTGATGGTGACTCTTCCCCTCCTCTAACTCCTCACAGATCTTCCCCGCCTCTCTACCTACAGTGCCCTTCTTTCCCTCTTAAAAAGAAAAACAAAACAAAACAAAAAGAAATGGAAACACACAGAGAAACCAAATGTCTACAAACAGATCGTTGAGTTCCCTTTGTGTTGGCCATCTACCATCCACTTCTGGGTATGAGACCAACACGAAGTGTGGTTAATGTACCCAGTAAAATTCTGCTGGAAAAGGGGGGGGATCTCAGTCAAGGACTGAAGTTAGAGTACTTATTTTTTTAGGTAATTCTCACAAAGACAGATGTAGAAATGGAAAAAGCAGGACCAGGAAACAAGGAGCACCCAGGAGGAGCATGTTAGATACAGTCCAATGCCTCATTTAGTGATGGGGAACCAACCTTGCTGAATGAAGACCCTCTCAAGCCCAGATGAATACAGCTGGGAATGAATCCACTCCTATCATACATGTGTGAGAAACAGTGATCCTCACTTCCTATGGGACCCATGGGACCCAGCGTAGTTCATGCCATCAGCCTACAATGGCAGCTATGCTGAGCAGAGAGGTCCATGACGCTAATGTGCAGCCCTTCCTCCCTTTTTAAAAAATATTTTATTTATTTAAATGAGTCCCCTATCTGCATGTATGACTTTATGGCAGAAAAGGGCATCAGATGCCACTATAGATGGTTGTGAGTCACCATGTGGGTGCTAGGAACTGAACTCTGAAACTCAGGGCCTCTGGAGGAGCAGCCAGTGCTCTCAACTGCTGAGCCATCTCTCCAGCCCCCCTTCCTCCCTTTTTAAATAATCAGGACAGGCAATCTTACACATCGTCCAGGTCTTGTCTTTTCTTGTGTTTATCTTTTCCCCAACAAAAATAGTGTGCAATTTCATCACTGCATTTTTACACCCTATTTATTTTACAACTTGTCGGATGCAGGTGAGCTTGGCTGTAAGTTTCTGCTCTAGACTTCTAGTTTGGGTGGGAGAAATAACTAGAGGAGAAGGCATTGGCAGGGGTCTGGTGTTTTCTGTTTTTGTAGCTGGACCAAAGTTGGCTCAAGGCACCTTTGAGAAGGAGCAGTTCGATTTTATCTCTCACACACACCCTCTGGGCAGTACTTACTTCAGTACTGCCAACCTGCAGCTAAGCTAGCTCCCAGGGTGCAAGAAAGCCCTCAGGCAAAGAAACTACAGAGAGCTCAAAGCACGTTCAGTGCAGAGTTTTTAGCCTTTCCTATCCCACACAGTAGCTGAAGTTTTAAAAATGGGACAGCCTGTTGGATGAGACACATATTTCTTGTCTTAATCTGGGTTTCTATTGCTGCAACCAAACACTGACCAAAAAGCAAGTTTGGAGGAAAGAGTTCATTTGGCTTACACTTCGGCATTGCTGTTCATCACTGAAGGAAGTCGGGACAGAAACTCAGACAGAGCAGGATCACAGAAATAGAAGCTGATGCAGAGGCTATGGAGGAGTGTTGCTTACTGGCTTGCTTTCCCCTGGCTTGTTCAGCCTGCTTTCTTATAAAATCCAGAACCACCAGCTCAGGGATGGCACCACCCACCATGTCTCCCTCATTGATCACTAATTGAGAAAATGCCTTACGGCAGGATCTCATGGAGGCTTTTCCTCAGCTGAGGCTCCTTCCTCTCTGAGGACTCTGGTTAGTGTCAAGTCTACACACAAAACCAGTCGGTCGGGACATATCTCCAGTCTAACTATGCATTCCCTGCCCCACGAAGAGCATTGTACCCTAGTGACTAGCGGTGCATTTCCATTCCCAGAAGTGAACTGTGGGAAAGTACAATTGGCTTCAAGGTGTGCTGGCTGGAAGGGTGGACATCTGGGGAGGTGTGAGGCCTGGCCTTGACCTCACCTTGCGCTCCATCCCACTTTTGGTGGCAGAGTCTCGGGGCACTCGTCTTTTGGCGGTAGGTAAGCAGGGGAGGAGTGGTGTGAGGTAAGAAAGTCACCGTGGAGATTAAGGACAGGCAAGCAGTAAAGTTGGAGGCATGAGAAATATCTGAAACACCCCTGGGTGAGGAAAAGACAGGAGTGACTTTAAAACACGGTGGGCGGGTCTGGGGAGGCAGTTAATGGCGCTCTTATGAAGGACCAGGGTTCTTTTCCCAACACTGTGCTGGGTGGATCACAAATGCCTACAACTCCAGCTCCAGGGGCTCTCGTGCCCTCTTCTGACTTTGGTGGGTAAGCGGACACACACACACACACACACACACACACACACACAGAGAGAGAGAGAGAGAGAGAGAGAGTGTGTGTTCTGCTTGCATGTATGGCTGCAGGCCGGAAGAGGGCACCAGATCTCATTACAGATGGTCATGAGCCACTATGTGGTTGCTGGGAATTGAACTCAGAACCTCTGGAAGAGCAGCCAGTACTATGATCCTCTGAGCCATCTCCCCAGCCCTCTCCCCCACCCCCACACACACGGGTTTACAACAGAAATAAAATACAGTGTTGTTGGGAGGCTTGCAGGTCATGCAGGGGTTGGTGCTGGTTAGTGTGCACAGCTGCATTCTTCTCCGAGGCTGCACTGGAGCCCAGCACACCCTCACAGGAGTGGTCACCTGGATAGAGTCCTTCTCAATGGTTGATCCACTCACTACAGTCTCCCCAACTGGTTGGTTTCCATTTCTGCCTGTGAAAGGAGAAGCAATTGGGGTGAGTGACCAGAAAGAAAGATCTTCTAGACCAATGTTCTGAGACTGTGCTCAGTTCTTCTGCAAGACTGTGAGTCTGATGAAGTCACAGGCTATTTGCTATTCATCTTTGTTCCCCAGTGAGCTCAAACATCTGATGAATAAATCTGTGAGATAAATGACAGAGTGAATTTTAAAAGCCTTGAGATTTATTTGGCTTAGTGTGTGCTTACTGTCTTTCAAACCAAGAAATTATAAATAAGTAAGGAAAACTTTAAGCATCAGCCAAGCCTTGCTTGTCTTATTAATAAATAGGGATGGGGCTGGGGAGTCTGCACAGCACCCACATGGTGGCTCACAAATGCCTGTAACTCTATTCTCCAGGGATCTGGCACCCTTTCTGGCCGCCCCCAGCACCAGGCGCAGCCGTGATGGAGGAAGTACATGGGGGGGGGGGGGCAGGATTCTGAGGGTTTAAAGCCTTGCACCCCTTTTGGTTCACTTCCTGCTTGGTAGTGTGGCTAAAGATGTGATCTCACAGTTTCCTCCTGCTCCTGACTCAATGCTGCCACTTGCTGCCATGCTCCACCTAACCATGAGCGACTCTATTCCCACTGGAGCCATAAGCCAGCATAAACTCTTTTCCCTAACTTGCCTTTGGCAATAGTTATTTATCAAGGCAACGGAAACGTAACAAATGCCCCGAGATGCTGGGCTGCACCCTCAAACTCTGAGCTAAAACAGACCCTACTTTCTGGGTTGCTTAAGTCAGGATTTTCATCACAGCAGCAAGAAAAGTAACTAATACAGAAAATGAAAGTATTGTGACGCAAATGGAAGCTGGAAGCCAGGGAATACCAAAAAGTCACACTACACAACAAACCTCACACAAGAGATTTGTTTATTGGAAAGGGAAAACCAGGAGGGTGGCTGCCTGTGCTTGAGCAAGAAACAGCAGCCAACTGAACAGTATACAGGGCTTATCTAGAGTTTCTTGGGAAGGGAGTGGAACTTTTGAGTGTGGAGATTGGTGGGATTTCATGTCCACAGATTAGGCTTTTTACTCTGTAGGATGGAGGCAGGGTCCAGCAGTTAGGGCAGTTAGAGGATTCTGTGGATGGAACCTGGCAGTTAGAGGTCCTGGGGGAGGGGCCTGGCCACCCATGTAGCTGGAGAGGCTTACAGTACTGAGATGGGGATCACACCATGAGAAACCAAACCATGTGACTCAGTACCATTTGGAACTGGTCTTCACGAGGAAAGAGAAAGAGCTCGGAGCTGTGAGGCCTAGAATACTGTAAGCAGAGCTCAGTGGGCTATTATAGGGGAGAGCAGAAGATTAGCATGCCAGTATAGATGCAGACAGTGGAAGACTGGTTCCTGGGGTGTCAGAGAGGAACAAGGGCTCTACTGGCACCATTTGTGTTACATGGAAGCTGTGGGAGAAGGCAGCCAGACATCTTGACCTGGCAGCAGGATTCTGCAGAATTGTCTACATGGTGCTTGCTGGCTTAGCATGCATGAAAATGCAAGTAGGAAGGGGTAGTGGAGACTTGCACCAAGGTTGCAGAAGGCTACTAAAGCTAGCAACACGTGGCAGGGTCAGAGTCTCTGCAAGTCGGCCCTGAGAGGCTACAGTGTAAACAAATTTTAAGTCTTAAGTTGCAACAAAGACTCCAGAATGTGGTAGATGCCAAGACCATAGATGTACTGAAAAAAAAATTAGGAATAGGGAGAGAGAGAGAGAGAGAGAGAGAGAGAGAGAGAGAGAGAGAGGAGACTACATATACAAATGGAAAAACTAGAGCAATGGGGCTACCCAAGTTCACTGAAGTTGAGATGGTGCCACTACAAACCCAAACAATAAACATTAGGCTGTAGGGGTTTGTTTTTGCCCTGCTGCGTTTTTACCTTACTTTGGATCCACCTTACCTTGATGTCCTCCATTTGGAATGGTAATGTTTACTCTTTGTGCCATACATATACTGGAAGTGTATAAAGTTAGGAAATTACCTTGAGTCTTCGAAGAGAATTTAGATGTAGGAACTGTGCTAGAACTGTTAAGATTAATGGGGACTTTTGAAGGCAAACTGGATGAATTTTACACTATGGTGTGGCCGTGAACCTGTGTGGCACAGAAGTGAAATGTGATGGTTTAACCGTGATGTGCTTGGGAGTCAAGTTGATTTCCATGGCTAATCTTCATTGTTAACTTGACTGGAGTTTATAATTACTTAAATAGACCCCTGGGTACATCTAGGAGGATATTTCAGAGATCTGAGGACAGAGATGTGAGTGGCACCACCCCACAAAGCTTGGATCCCAGAATGAATAATCTCAGAAAAGTGACTAGAGTAGCAGCAGCATTCGTCTCTTGCACTCCTGCTGCCAAAGGTAGGGGGGCTCTCAGTGCTGTGCTTCTGTGTGAAATGATACAGCCATAAAGGACTATATTCTCACACTGAGAGCCAAAGTAGCTCATGTTTGCTTCTGAGATCAGACAAGATAGGGCACACTCAGGGTGGTATGGCAATAGAGGATTCCTTGTGTTTGCATGACAATTACTTTACTAATTGGATTACGTCAAAGGCCTATACTTCTCAAAATTATCAGTAGCTGATAGGAAAGTCCTTCGGCTTTATTCTTCTAGGTCTGTGCTTTTCAACCTTCCTAATGCTGCAACCTGTTATAACACAGTTCATGCGGTGACCCCCAACCATAAGATTATTTTGCTGCGACTTCAGAACTGTGATTTTGCTACTGTTATGAATCATAAATATCTGTATGTCCTGATGGTCTTAGGAGACGCCTCCCCCCCATGGAAGCGTTGTTCGATGCCCCCCAAAGAGACTGTGACTCCCAGGTTGAGGACCAATGTTCTAGACTGTCTTGGCTGTCCTTAACCTTTACATTTTTCCATTTAAGTTTTATAATCAGTCAATTTACACACAACACAAACACACAGCCTGCTGGGTTCACTGGGATGAGATCTGTAGACCCCTGTGGGGATCTGAGCACTTCGAGCCTTTCAGACAATAATAGCGTTATTGTCAGCGGTTCTTGGGTGTCTTTCATAAGACCCATTCTTAGATGTAACATGATAAGCCATCCCAAAAAGAGACTGGATCTTAATCCCTCGACCTTCTACATGTTGTCCTATCTGAAAGGAAGGTCTCTGTCTGCCTGTGTCCTTGCTTCTTCTGGAACTGGCATGTTTATCAAGGACAAGCCCAGGCATCGATAGCTCAGAATTTAGTTAGCCAGTCCCCAACCTTGACCTTATCTTTGGTCTTTGCAACTGAGAAAATGTTAAAATAGGAAAAAAAAATTAAATCCTGCCAACAGATCAGCATCCTCCACTGGTTTCACTGGACATTGCTAAGCCTTAAAGCTGTCTTCTCTACCCAGGTACTTTCCTCATCCTGAGCACTTAGAAGGCAGGCATTCTCCAGGTTTTCTCCCTAGGGCTTTCTACTCTGTAATGCCTTATTATCTGTTGAGAGACCATTTCAGGTCCATTAATATCATCCTTCTGAGCCAGGCAAGCTCAAGGTGACTTTCTTTTCTTGAGAAGCAAAACAGAACTGTTTTTTCTTACACACACACACACACACACACACACACACACACACTCACACACCTCTTCACCCCACGTTCCTTCCATAAAGGTGAATGCAGTCATCTTTGCTCCATCCTTTTCTATATTCCAGTTTTAACTAGTCAAGATGAAACTGTCACAAAGGTCCTTGAATCTTCACAATGTTTTTGGTTCATATATGCAGATTTCTTTCTACAGAAAAGAGCACCGGCAGTGTTGCAGAGTTGAGGTGTTGGAAAGCCTGACTATAAGCCCGTTTGGTCACAGGTGCCTACGTGAGCATGTGGGATTTGGTCTGGGATCCAGGACAGACTTGCTCTCTCCTGGTTCCAGCCAGGTAATGGACCTTATGGGTTTTCTGTTTCTCATGTTGACTCCTCTCCTTAATAAAATTAACCTATATTATCCTAGTCCCAAGTATCTTAATCTGTTCACCCACACTGGGGTGGTTCCCCCACTACCTGCCTTGAATTTCCTCTACATGGGGTCTGGCTTTTGTGTTCCAGGACCAAAAGAGATGATGTTACAAGACTGAAATGTTCATTAGGAGGAATATAAAAACCAAAATGTCAGTGTATAATTCACAGTGAAAAATGCAACTGCCCAAGGCAACTGCTCTTCATTGGTCCATTAACGTTTCTCTTTTAAGAAAATAAAAATCATGGAATTAAAATATTCTTCAGGAACCTATTTGTTTTTAAAAGGATTGATTGTGATTCAAATAAGTAATGGACACATACAAGGCTTTCAGAAAGAAATTCAACAATTTCCATTTCCAGAACCAGTTTCTGCTCCTTTAGACACATGGCCTGCCTGGGTATTTGTATCCCAGAGTTTTCTTGGCTGAATTCTTCATTAGATACAGACATGTTATTTCTCAGTAACGGAATCCTCAAGGACAATTTTGACCCTCAAAAACTATTTTACGGTTGTTCCCCAATTCTGCAGGACACACACCTGCCTGTAAGTCCTCCCTCTTCCTCCTGGACAGAAAGGCTAACACAAAATAGCCCTCCGAGGCCAGGCAGCATGTCACAGAGCAGATATTCTTAAATCTGGTGAAGAAATGCAGTTCAACCCAGGCTACACAGAGAATCTTCTTCCATCAGGATGGTAGCTGGCCTCACCTCTCTGTGCAGCAGGACTCCGCTGCCTCAAGAACTGCTTCAGGCCAGCGTCGAGCCAGAGGGCACGCACAGGGGATGGCAGCGTTCTGTCCTCGTTTTATTTGCCCACTCACGGCATTCACTTATTAGACGGCCAAAGCGAAAAAGCCAAGTGGAAAGGCTCGGTCCCTCGGGACCTCACTGCGAGATGAGCTGCCTTGCCAGGTCGTTAGGGCCGGATCCCGGGGCCGCCGTGCAAGGGAGTGAACGCGGTCCGCCACCAACCCGAGGCCGCCGCCACCACCCCACCGCGCC